TCACCTTATCTTTTGCAGCATCCAGCATATTATCAATTTCTTCTGGACGTGCACATTCCTTAGTTTCCACCACATCTGGAGTATATGCTTTCGGAGATAATGCTCATGGACAGTGTGGTCAAGATCCGGAGCAACGGCGTGAAGTACATGGGGTAACCGCTTCAATCACGGAAAAGAGCTTTTACATGGGTTGCATGTTCTAGGTGAAGGATACACCACTTCCAAAAATAGAAATACCCAGTGATTCTCCTGTTTCTGCTGTGCATTGCGCATTGGACAGCTCATTTATTTTGACAGAGAAAGGTGAAATATTCGCTTTCGGATTGAACGAAGATGGGCAATGTGCAAATGGAGAGTATGGCATACAGTGGAAACCTTGTAAGATATTAGGTGAGTGACATATTTCTTACTTTTTTTCAATTTCGGTTTTTTTACTGCTTTTACAGACCGCGCCATACTTATCCACTTGATCCACTTCACCTACTTCGCTATTGGTCAAATCAGTGAACGAGCCAATAGTAGCCAATAGCGCCTTCCTACTGGTCAGTTCGATGATTTGACCATTGACGAAGTGAATCAAGTGGATTAAATGGATCAAGTATGGCGCGCGCCATAGCTTCTATTTGCTTCTCATGAGCGGAATGTGTGCTGTTTTGTTTATACATAAACTCAAGATCAATTCTGTTGTCAGGTGACGCTGCCGATGAGCGGATTATAGCAATCTCAGGCAGCTCAGATACCCTGCTGGCTTTATCAGAGAAAGGCGAACTCTTCATCTGGGGGCAGTGCGAGTATGGGCAGGCTGGGGTAGGAAATGATAAAATTCAGGTGAAAAAATTAGGTTATATACGTTCTTGATGTCAGTTTATCATTTTAAGATGAATTTCTCACGATTCGTTCCGTTTCCTTCTGGAAAGATAGTGTCAGCTGGTTCAACTGCAAGCTCTTGCATCATCAATACTGATAGAGGGGAGGTGAGCCATTATGAAGCGTATGAGTTTTATTTCCTGCTTATTATGATTTGGCGCGAATTTTACCGATATTTCTCATGTAAGAATTATCTGTGTAACTGAAAATTTAGGTGTATGCTTGGGGAGTTGGATTGCTTGGTTTCGGGCCCTCGACACAGAAGCTAGATCGACCAACTTTGATGGACCAACCCCTTTTTGAAAACCAAAAGGTTGATTTCCTTGTCAGTTGATCGGGTGTTTGTGTACGCATATCATCATTTTCTAGGTCGACAAGGTCTACGCAGGAAATACTTCATTTGCTGCCATCAATTCCTCTGGGCGGTTGTTTACCTGGGGTCAAAATAGGTGAGTTACCAGTAGTTTCCATCTCGGAAAATTCAACTTTCTGTTTGGTGTTCTTACTTTGCTAATGATTTTTTTGAACTATGTGCTGTCGTTTTTGCAGATATGGTCTGCTAGGCCTGGAGCATGGAAAAGATCAGTACTTCCCATATCAAGTTTTCTTCCCCTACGATGTCAAACACGTCTCCCTCGGGCCCGACCATTCTTTGTTTCTACTTAAATGACTGGTTTTTTTGATATGAACTAAGGCAGATTACGATTCTTTATCTAGTCTGCGATTGAATCTCTTTTGATTCCTGGTATTTATGGAGCATACTTTCTTATTAGATTGCTTTACATGTTTGTAAGTTTTATTCCTTTGTTATCTGTTTGTTGATTTATGCCGATTCGGCAAAGTTAGTATCAGAGCCTCTCATAGTAGTCCTTTCATCTCAGTGGCTGGAGAGATTGTACCTCATTGGTGAAATATTCAGTTTTTACTTAAATAAATCGTTACCAAAAATGTTTTAGTTGACACAATCCGAGCTTGTAACGGTAACATCTTGTTCTTGCTTAAATCAGTCAAATGCGAATATTTGGCATTATATCAGAGCTATGATTCATTTTTATGATAGATAACCTCATGGTCTAACAAGGGAATGGTCAAAAATCGAAGTGGCCAATCC